TCTGTGATTTTAAGTATATAATTTGCTATGTCTAAGCCTCAGCTGCCTCAGCTGTTAAATTGTGGCAGTAATTCAAATTTTGCCTACCTTCACAATTGTTGGAAGGATTGTTGGAAGGATTAGTTGACATATCAGATGAGCATCTTTTATAAGCTGCTACAGTGATGGAATCTGTTGTTACGATTGCTATTACCAGCTTAATGCATTTTAGGAAAATAAATTTAAAGATATTTTAACTCCTTATTTTTTCTTCAAGAAGTGCTAAGTTTAAGTAAGACTTTAAAATGAGAGAACTGGTTTGAAAATGACAATGAACTAATGAGTGACTAACAGGACTATATGCTATTGTTTGGTCAAAAATTATTTTATTAGCAACCACAAAGATTTAGGTCCTGGGCTTCAAAACATTGTTTATTCTTTAGTTTTCAATATTGTAGATGACAAAAAGTAGGTGGGGCTTTGCCAAGATAAGTTTTAATTTTATTCTCCTAGGTATTGTATATAGATCCAGAGAAAAATCAGAAGAATTTTGCTATTTTTCAAAGGTCTTTTGCCCTTATTCCATTAGTGGACAATTGTATAAGTATCAGGCTGAGGGTTACAGCAACAGAGGCCGTTTTTGTCTTTATTCTTTATTATTCTGCTTCTATTTTATCCATTCTTCCCTCTTCTTGGGAACATGCTGCTTTGGGGGAAAACATTTAATTTCTGGACAGAAATAATGATTCCTGGTCCATCTTCCCTTTGCTATTTTTTTCATTGAGCTGCACATAGCTAGGATGTATTTGAGAGATTGTATATGAAAAATTTGAAGGCAGGTTGTTGGTGTGGCCATTTAAAACAATATCAAGAACATGTTTTAGGTACTCACCCATCTTCTACCTGCGCAGTTCTTTGATGCTCTCTTGTACATGTTCTTGTGTATTTGTGTTTGCTGTATATACTGGTTGAGTTAATTGTAATGATTTTGATCCAGGGAAAAGACCCAGCAACAAATTGGATTCTTCTGATCCCTTTAAACTGAATGATCCATTTCAGCCTTTCCCAGGCAGTGATAGCCCCAAAGAAAAAGATCCTGATATGTTTTGTGATCCATTCACTTCTTCTACTACTACCACTACCAATAAAGAGGCTGACCCAAGCAATTTTGCTAACTTCAGTGCTGTAAGTACTGTGAATGGGCTATTTGGGGGAAAATCTTTCCATTTACAGTTTGAAGAGTTTTCAAAGATTACAAATTTGTATCATTTTAAGTAAATTTACCAACATACTAAAAATGATCTTTCATTCTTCCCCCAAGTAAAACCTCTCTGATGAGTCTACAATTATTGCATCACACAAATGATTTTAGTAGTCTTAGTTCTTGTGATATGTGTAAGTTATTTTTGTAAACCCTTCTCTTAGTCTTGGTAACATAAATTTAAATAAAATCCTGATAGTTATTATTTTGCAGATGCTTATGGATGATGGTGATTTAATAGACCATTAGAGAGTCATTGCTGTCTGGCCACTGGATGAATAATGCCAGTAATGAGCTTGTGTATTTGTAACTGTGTATGTGTGTTTGTGTATAAAGTTTTGATGATTTCCGGAGACCAGTCAGCAACCATTATAAGAGAGGATAGGGCCAGGGGATTCTTTTTTTTTTTTT